GAAACGTTTAACTCAAGTCAACACAGTGTAATTTATAGTACCTAGTACCTTATTCTGGAACTCATTGCCAGTGTCATTAAAAAATATTACCTCTCGATACACATTTAAACAAGGTCTGAAACAGTATCTCTGTAATAAATAACCCAGTATTGACTTATTTAACAGTTGTCACTCTCTTGACTTTTATGACATATTTTTGATCAGTTTTTAAGTATTCTTATATACATTACCTTTGAATATTTGTAAGAATATTTCTGATAATTTGACTAGTTTATAATTAGGGTAGGGACATGATGTTTTACTAGCTCTTTTTAAGCTATTTATCATATGTTCCACACCATAATGACAAAGCATTATGTATTTAGCAAGGACCCTATTGTATTTACTTAATGGTGAAATAAAATATACAATACCTTACAATATATACAATACAATATATGTGTCAGTGGAGTGTCGATCAGGCACAACAAGTGGAACACCTGACTGCATGGGTTCTAGGTGTCAGTGGAGTGTCAGGCATAACAAGTGGAACACCTGACTGCATGATTCTAGGTGTCAGTGGAGTGTCAGGCATAACAAGTGGAACACCTGACTGCATGGATTCTAGGTGTCAGTGGAGTGTCAGGCATAACAAGTGGAACACCTGACTGCATGGATTCTAGGTGTCAGTGGAGTGTCAGGCATAACAAGTGGAACACTGCATGGATTCTAGATGTTAACAAGTCATTGTCAATGACACGTCCCCGTTCCGTTCATATTTGAGTGACATATACATTCAAAGCAGATCATGACCGAAATGCACCTGCATATGTACAACACATTGTGCTAAATCTGAACAAAATCCATCCCAATCTGATTAAAATCTGATGTAGTGTACGGGCTTTAATTATTTTGGCTATAAACTTATTTTAATTTTATTTTTTATTACTTTTGTTATTAATGCCTTTTAATTTTATTATTTTACTTTGATTTTGATTTTGTGATTTTTTTTTAATTCTGCCCTACCTACATCTGAGCCGATGCCTATGTAACGAGATTTCAACGAGACCCACTATCGACGATTTTAGTCAACGAATCACAGACCTCCTTCTATAGCGCACATGATGACGTCACCGGGCGGAGTCGGGTGGCAAACACTCAAATAAAATGGCGGATTATACCGACGTTAGCGACCGAGAATAACACGGCTTTACGGTAAGTTTATCATTGTCAAATGCAACGAAAGTCATTTTTATGTTAATATTGTGGCTCGAATGGTTCGACTTTAGATCGTTATTTTGCATAGTTATTCTGGGAGTGACGATTTTGTTTCCACCGTTTCGACCGAACACCAGTGTCTTTTTCCAGTCGCCTGCCCTGGAGAC